TCTGATATCTCCAGGGGCTAGAGTGTCTCCCCCCGCCTCCGCCCCTCTCCCTCCCCACCCCCTTCAGCTGTGGGCTCAGGAGCTGAAGCTGGAAATGGAAGAGAGTCCTCAGGTCATGAGGGCCCAAGCCTCTTGGGGCAGCGGGAGCTCTGTTCTCAGCCTGGCTTCTGCCTGGCAGGACTGGAGAGGCTGCGGTACCCATACCCCCAGAACCTCAAAGCCTCTGTGTTTAGCTGCCAAATAAGATAAAAGAAGATTGCCTGGCAGAGTTTCAAGGCCAGGCTTGAAAATGACTTACATCACTCTCATGTTCTGTGGGCCAGAGTTCAGTCACATGCCCCCCCCCCCCCCCATTCTGAGGGGGAGTCTGGAAGATACAGTTTGGTTCTGCCCAAGGGAAAAGGAAATGGTTTGGGGAGCATACAGCATTATCCCTGCCACAGTCCTGGGCAACCTCCATGTGGCCATGCTCACTGCATACCTCTTTGTCCTCATCTTACCCTACCTCTTAGCAGCTTTCTAAGTAAGTGATCATATCTTCCTTCTTGAGGTGCTCTTCTCTGTAAACCCTCCCTAGTGTTCTTCTTTAGTGTGGCAGCTTCTTCTCCATCTCTGCTGAAGATTTCCCTTTCTCCTCTACTTACCTTCCAAGATGACTGCGTTGGAGGGCTGGTTCTTCATGAGGATGGGTTCTCTCTTTCCATCTACCAATTCCTCATTCTTCATTCCCAAGGCTACGAATACCATCTGCTTCCTGAGGACTCTCAGGTGTATATTTTCTTTCACCTCTGAGTCTTAGACTCATGTCCATTGCCCCTGTGATGATTCACCAGATAGTTCACTGGCATCCCAAGCTTAGCATTTACTGAACTGAGCTCACAAATCCTTTAACCTCCCACCTCTCATCTCCCACCCACACTGTTCTTCCCTAACAGCCCTCTTCTTGTGTTCATTCACCCAGTTGCTTAAGTCATATCCAAAGAGTTAACCTTGATTTCTCCTCTTCCTCCTCACTTAACTTTCACTTCAGATCCATTATCAAGACCCCTGGCTTCCATGTTCAAATCACTTATAATTTACCCCACTTCTCTTCTATTATCCCACACCAAATCACCATTACCTCCAGTCTGGATTATGCAATAGGTTCCAAATTGGTTTCCTTATCTCTATTCCCTCCCCCACACCATTCACCATAGCAGCCAGGGTAATCTTTGCAAATGTACATCATGTCACCCCTGCTCAAACTCCTCTGGAATCTCTTAATTGCAACAAGGATAAAAGCCACATCTTTTAACACGGACTCCAGGGCCTTGTACAGTGTGACATTTTGTGTCATGCTGACCTTCCTCTTGGGGATGGAGCCAAGCGATGGCCAATGTATTTAAGATGATGTCTCTAAAGAGCTTACAGTCTAGTTGGGGGTGCAGGTCTAATTCAAGGAAAGCTTTCCAATAAACAGCCATGCCAGACAGCAGCAGTTCAGATGCATGCCCAGGTGACAGAAGCAGAAAGAGGAGGCAGGCCAAGGAAGCCTTGCAGTCAGCTGGGAGGGAGGAGAACCACACCTATCACCACTGCACACTTGGCATGCAAACCCATGCCTGGTATACAATGGGAGTCAATGCATATTTGCTGAACAAGTGAACAACACAGGCATGAATGAATAAATGACTTGATTTCTGCCCTGTGGGAGCTCAAAGCCTGGTGGGGGAGGCTAAAAAGCAAACATTTAGTCATGACACATGATGGCAGGGGTATGTACATTCAAGGTGCCCTTTTTTAATCCTCACCTGAGGATACGTTTTTATTGATTTTTAGAGGGAGGGAGGGAGGGAGGGAGGGAAAGAGAGAGAGAAAGAGAGAGAAAGAGAGAGAGAGAGAGAGAGAGAGAGAGAGAGAGAGAGAGAGAGAAACATTGATGTGAAAGAGAAACATGGGTCGGTTCCCTCCCGCACGTGCCCTGACTGGGAATTGAACCCACAACCTATGTATGTGTCCTGACTGGGAATCAAACCTGCAGCCTTTCTTGGAGTATGGGATGATGCTTCAACTGACTGAGCCACCCGGCCAGGGCCTTTTAAGGTGCTCTTTACCTTCAGGAATTGTCAACTCTTCTTGAGGAGGGTTCAGGGAAGACTTTGGACAAGAATGTGACACTTTGCTGGGACTTGAAGGAAAATTAAGGATGAGCAGAGGGATGAGCAGAGACAGGCATCCGAGGCTGAAGGGCACTGAAATACAGTGCGAGGAGAGCACTGAACAAACCAGAGTGCGATAAAGTGTCAAACTGTATGTCACAGACCACAGAGCTCTGAGGGGTGAGAAGGTGCAGGTGACTGAGCATCAATGGTTGTTGGTGGGCGAAATGCAGGCTGAAATACTAAGGGCAATTTTGGGTAGATTTGAGTCATTATTAGGCCTGGAATATAAAACTATGGCCAACATGGAAGGCTATATGCTAATAAAGATCACAATTAATATTAATGAGAAGACAGTCACTGATGATGTGGATCATTCGTGGGAGAGCAGAAGCCAGGGGGATGAGGAGGTGTCAAGCATGCCAGCAGGGCACTCTGTCTGGCTCCATCACTGTGGGAGGAAGGGCGGGTGGGCAGGGGAAGGACCCCCTGACTGATGTGGCTGGATGGGAGGCTACCTGCTTTGCCTTCTCTAGCTGCTGCTGCCCTGTCCCCTGGAGGAGGACTGGCCTTGGGGAGGCCTCCTGCCTGCAGGGCTGTGGGTGCTCCAGGGCTGAGGTCTGCGAGGGTGCAAACCTGAGTCTCACACATTTGCCCCTCCTTGCTTCTTCCCTGTCCAGATCCTTCAGGGACAAGAAGTCTGGAATTTGGGGATAATGGGCTGCAGGGCTGGGCAATTCAGAGTGAGTGTCTGCCTGAGAATGCCTGTCCAGGGCAAGCTGGGGACCAGAGGCACTCTGGACAGTCTTGATAAATGGCAGGAGCCAGAGCAGGGCAGCCTGAGAGGAATGGGAAGGACAGTATGGCCCTCCTTGTCGGTTTTAGAAAAAGATAGAGCATGGGGGTGATCTTTGTGTCTCTCTCTTGTACAAACCATAAACTCACCCCTCCCATCCTACTTCCTGCCCACATGGCTCATCTTTGTGCTCCTAAGCATGATGGTGGAGGTCTAAAGTATCAATGTTCATAATAATAGCTAACCTTTACTGAGCCAACTAGAGTTCTAGGCCTTTAATTAACTCACTTAATCTCTAAACAACTTGGGAGTAGGTACTTTTGTCATCCCCATTCTACACACATGGAGACTGAGGCTCAGAGAGATGAAGCAATTTGCCCAAGGTCTCACAGATACAAGGTTGCAGAACTCGGATTGGAACCTGAAAGTGTGGCTCCTGGAGCTCATTAGTTCCAGGTGTGGCCCCAGAGAAGGGAAGGGAAGGGAAGGGAAGGGAAGGGAAGGGAAGGGAAGGGAAGGGAAAGGAAGGGAAGGGAAGGGAAGGGGAGGGAGAGGCGGGAAGAGGAGGGGAAGAAAGGGGAGGGAAGGGAAAGGAAATGAGTGCTACCAGGACTCACAAAACCAATGGCCAGGAACTATTAATAGCTGCTGATACTGCATTCACTGCCAGCGCCTCAGAGCCCCTGGACTGGCTGTGAGGAGGAGTCTGGCTCTGTCATATAGGTGGAGGGCACTGGCAAGCCTCTTACATTTTCAGAGCCTTTGTTTTCTCATCTCTATTATAGGAGAACAATTGCAAATCCATAAAGAGGAGTGAGTGAAGGAGCATGTACAAAGTACCTGAGCATCATAGTAGGTGCCTAATAAATGAGTTCCTTGACCCCCTTCTCTCCTGAGTCAAGTTTGCTTCAAGCTCTGTTTAATTATCTTTCTACAAATGTGTCCTGAGGGCCTACGGGGTGCCAGATCTTCTGTTAATCCCTGGGAAATACATCGATGAAGGAAGAGGCAGGAGGGACTTGAGGTGGGGTGGGGTGGGGAAATGGCTCAGAGTAACCAGGAAGAAACAAAATGGATTTTTAAGAAACCCAGGAGAACACGACACTTGAAAATTTTCTCTTGAAACAATAGCCTCAGGAGGGCCCCAGTCAGTTCAGAGATGCCAATGCTGTGTCCCACATTGATAGCACCAAGGGGCAGGATGCGGGGAGGGGCGCTGGGGGAGAGGGGGGGTCTTCTGCAGGTGGAGCCCAGTGCACACTGCACATCGCAGGCTGGGGCAGGAGACCTGCCCAAGTTACGGAGCTGCTGGGTCAAGAGCAGAAGCAGAGGGCAGAGCTTTTCATTTCTGAGCCTGAAGTCTTCCGGTTACACAGGAGCACTCACTTCCTCCCTTTATCCTCCCAGCTGCACTGGAGTTGGAGAATTCTCCAAATCTGGCGGCACAGCTTATTTAAGATTTTAGCTCAGAATGGCTTTGGAGTGTTTTCAAAGTTTTTATTTTATTGAGAGAGAGAGAGAGAGAGAGAGAGAGAAGAGAGAGAGAGAGAGAGAGAATTGTTGTCCCATACATTTATGCGTTCAGTGGTTGATTCTTGTTTGTGCCCTGACTGGGATGGATCAAATTAGCAACTTTGGCCTACCTGGAGGATGCTCTGATCAACTAAGCACCTGGCTGGCCGCTGGAGTGTTTTGTAAACGAACCACGCCCACCTCACTAGGAGGGTGCATGGGATGTCCAGGCGCCTGTCTGAGGGTCGGGCTGGCCTGCTAGCCAGGCGTGAGAGCAGAGTGCACCCAGGTTACGCCAAGCGCTGAGTGTTCATTTGCATCTCTAAATGGGCTTCATATAGAGGACAAAGCCCAGGCATTTTTCTGGCCGAAGAGCAGGGCTGAGGCTAATAGACGCCTGTATTTGGCCTGTGGGCTAAAAAGAATCATTAAAAGAGTTTGGAGCTGTAACAGCTTGGAGTCCTCAGCTAGGCGTGAAGGGCCTCTTAAAAGCGAGGCTTACTCCTTCCTGGAGAAGTAGCTGGGGAGGGGTGGGAGGTGGGGGTGGTTCAGGAGTCCTGGCCGCAGGGCCTCCCAGACTAAGGCTGTCCTAGGTGGGCTGAGGTTTGGTCCTGCTTGCAGGCAGGGCGATGGATTCAGTGATTCTCGAAGGACCTAGCTGGCTGGCATCAGGATTCTGGGCTCCTTCGTGGCCATGTGGAGCTGCCTGTGCGCTCGCGAGTGCGCCCCTGAGTGTCGGTGAGTGGCTGGTGGGCGGCGCGCGAGTGGCCTCGGATGGGTGTGTCTGAGGCGCCGGCTCCCGGATGCGCCCGCTGCGCCCACTTGTGGCTCCCGGGCGCCTCTGGGAAGAGCGGAGCCTCCGCCGCCTCTGCCGGGGACTCAGCCCGAAAGGGAAGGGAGAAGGACAGGAGGCTGATGCCATGAGGGCGCCGTCTCCCCAGTGATGGCAGCGCACGCTGCCCCGCCGCCGCCGCTCAGCCCGGGCTCCTGACGTCAGGGCAGCCGGGCCCCCTCCGCGCGGAGCCCGCAGCCGGGGAGCGCGCCGAGCGGAGCGCACCGCGGAGCCGGGCGCCCCACCTGCGAGCCACCCGCCGAGCCCCGCGCCCAGCCGGGCAGAGCACGCTCAGCGCCGGAAGCCGCTCCCGCCCGCGCTCCGGGCCACCTGCGGACCCTGGGTCGCCCGGCCGGTCCGGGGCCCCGCCATGCGCGCCGGGCTCCGCGCCTCTCGCTCCGGAGCAGCCCGCACGCCGTGAGCGCCGGCGCCGGTGCCGGGGCGCCTCTCCCTGAAGTCGCCGGGCGCCCGGAGCGGGGGTCGCCACGTCGTCGGGGGTGCGGCCGGGACCCGTGGAGTCGGCCCCCGAGTTGGGGGAGCGGGGCCGCCCGCGCCGCCCCACCATTACCTCCTTGGGGGGCAAGGAGGAGCTGGTGGCGGCCGCTCCCCCGCGGTGGCAGCGGCGGCGGCGCGCCTGCCTGGCGGCCGTCGGCGTGCTCCTGGCCATGGCGCTGGGGCTGCTGATCGCGGTGCCGCTGCTGCTGCAGGCGGCCGCGCCCGGCGCCGCGCACTACGAGATGATGGGCACCTGCCGCATGATCTGCGACCCGTACCGCGCGGCCCCCGGCGGAGGGCCCGCGGGCGCCCAGGCGCCGCCGCCCGGCCCCAGCACTGCCGCCCTGGAGGTCATGCAAGACCTGAGCGCCAACCCGCCGCCCCCTTTCGTCCAGGGACCCAAGGGCGACCCGGGGCGGCCAGGCAAGCCGGGGCCGCGGGGGCCCCCCGGAGAGCCGGGCCCCCCTGGACCCAGGGGTCCCCCGGGAGAGAAGGGCGACCCCGGGCGGCCGGGGCTGCCGGGGCTGCAGCTGACGGCGGCGGGGTCGGCCGGAGGGGACGGGGCGGCGGGCGGTGGGACCCGGGGCGGCGGCGGCGGCGACCCCGAGGGCGAAGTGACCGGCGCGCTCAGCGCCGCCTTCAACGGCCCCAAGATCGCCTTCTACGTGGGCCTCAAGAGCCCCCACGAGGGCTACGAGGTGCTCAAGTTCGACGACGTGGTCACCAACCTCGGCAACCACTACGACCCCGCCAGCGGCAAGTTCAGCTGCCAGGTGCGCGGCATCTACTTCTTCACCTACCACATCCTCATGCGCGGCGGCGACGGCACCAGCATGTGGGCGGACCTCTGCAAGAACGGCCAGGTCAGTGCTCTCCCGCCCCGCAGCCCCCAGACCCCCGTCCCGACTGCCCGGGAGCCAGTCCCTTTCTCCCCGCCGGCCGGCGAGTGCGCCCGGACCCCGCTCCCCAAAGCTCCAGGTGGCGTTTATCCCCGGGTAACCGGGAGGTTGTGCCCGGAGAGCCCGGACCCCGCCACCGAACCGCACTCCCCGGTGAGGTGAGCGCCCCGCCTGCAGCCCCCGGGCTCCGGGAAGCCCCTTCCTTCTCCAGCTGCCCCCGGGCAGGTGCTCGACCCTCGCTCTCCTGCCCACCCTGGCTCCCGCCCTTCCCCGCGGGGCCGGGGATCGGGAAGTCCCAGCTTTCCTCCCTCCGGGACGCCGGGAGGAAATGGGCTAAGTTGCAGAGAGAAGGTGGAGCCTGGGTGGGAGCGTGGGCTCCGGAGCCGGAGCCTCGGGCAGAAGGCCGACCAGGGGCGCGGGGTGGGAGCCGGGAGGGGCCCGGGCAGACTGCCCCGACCCTACCCTCAGCTCGGCGGCTCGCCCCCAGGTCCGGGCCAGCGCCATCGCGCAGGACGCGGACCAGAACTACGACTACGCCAGCAACAGCGTGGTTCTGCACCTGGAGGCGGGGGACGAGGTGTACGTGAAGCTGGACGGCGGCAAGGCGCACGGAGGCAACAACAACAAGTACAGCACCTTCTCCGGATTCCTCCTCTACCCGGACTAGGGCACCTGGAGCTGGGCCCGGGGGCTTCCCGCAGCCTGTTCCCTGGCGAGGATCCCTCATGCTTCCTGACGCTTCTTGACATGTCGGAAAAGACACGTTCCCGCTGTCCTCCCTGTCCCGCCCCCATCCCCAGTGTGCCTGCAGCTCACTATGCTCTGGGCAGTGCTCCTGGCCTTGGGCCCCCATCTGGGGAGGGAGAGGGTCACTCCAATGTGGTGAGAGGAGCCCGAGCCTGAACCCCAAAGGCGTGGACAGCAGCGGTGGTGGTGGCAGCACAGTTTGCAAACCTGATTGGACTGGACAGGCTGGGCAGAACTGCCCTCTTTCAGTCTCCCTCCTTCTCCCAGTGCCCAGGGGCCGAGCCTTCCCACCCTGGCCAGTGAGATAGGCTAAAGCGCGCATGAGCTCTCTGGGGAGTCCAATGCTCCTGCCAATCCCCCTGTCCATCAGTCAAAACCCCACCGCGCAGAATCCCAGCCAACGGAAATCTGCCTCTCCGCAAAGGCCTGACTCAGACCCGCTGCGATGCATTAAATTATGTTTCTAGACCACGGGCTCCGATGTTTTTGTCAGGGTGGCCCCCAGACCAGGCCTCCAGACGTCCGCTTTGACATGAAAACATAACCTGGGCCCGGAATAGCCCCATCTGTACCTGCTTGTCAGCCACTGCCCTGTCCCCGCCACCGAGATGGGAGACAAGATGTGGGGAGAGATGATAGAGCGCCCACCCTTTGGGGAGATGGTATTTCTCCCCTGGGTTGCCTCCCTGAACTGGAGGGGCCCAGAGGAGGTGGGCAGAGAGAATTAGAGGCAGATGGGAGAGGGGTGGCTGAGACTCCAAGTTCACAGCCTTGTGGGAGGAGGTCAAAGAGCAGGAGTTTCTGGAGAAAGAAGGGGTAAGGGAGGCAAATGGGAGGCAGGGAGGAGGCACTTGCCAACAGGTGGTCTCAGATGTTTGTCCCTAAAAAGATGTAAAAAGTCTTCCCCCAACACCCCCCCCCCCCCGCAGAAACCCGCCCACCCAGGCATAAAGTACTCAGGACCCGTCCATTTGCCCACACCACTGGCTAGGCCCCTGGTTGACAAACTGCGGTTCAAGAGCCACATGCAGCTCTTTGGCCCCTTGAGTGTGGCTCTTCCACAAAATACCATGGCCTGGGGGAGTCTATTTTGAAGAAGTGGCATTAGAAGAAATTTAAGTTTAAAAAAATTGGCTCTCAAAAGAAATTTCAATCGTTGTACTGTTGATATTTGGCTCTGTTGACTAATGAGTTGCCGACCAGTGGGCTAGGGTCACAGCTCTTATAAGAGCAGGTAAACTGAGGCAACCTGGGAGTCATGCAGCTCCCGGAATTCACCCAGAACTATCCCTGGGGGAGGGAACCCTTTCCCAATCTTCCCTTCCCGCTTGCACGGTGCCCTGGCACCTGATCTGAGCCCCTTTGTGTGTGGTCTCCTCTCGGCACTTCCCACCCCATCCCACCCACACAGCGAGGGAAACAGCCAGCACGGCTTTGATTTTTTTATTTACCTTTTGTTTTGTTTTTAGATCATTGAATTCCAATAAATAATAAATTATCTACAGACTAACCAGTTAACAACCTGTTAGTACTGAGTTCATTTTGACCAGTTGTTTGAAGGGAAATGTGTGCACACAGAGGCAATCCCAGAGTGTGCGTACTATGTAAAGCTGGAGGCACACACACACACACACACACTCACACACCATTTGGATATAGTGTGGTTGTCATCACTAGTCCATATTACACATGTGCACACATACATGTATTCATAGGTCAATGTGGGTGACAATGTTCATGGCTGTATGTCTGACCCCAAATCACATTGGGCTCAACTTTAGTTCCTGGAGGACGCTAAAAGCTGTGATTCCCTTTTAAAGACAATTGTGCCCCAGCTTCAAGTCCCGTTGCTGTGACTATTCCTCTTGATGCTCTTATTTTACTTGAATAATGTTTTATTGTCATTAACTTAGGTATTAGCAATGATCGAATCTGCTTTGAATCCAGGGATAAAGTTCTGAAAGAGACAGCAAGGCAGAAAACAAACTATCACCATTCCCCAGTTCCTGACTGAAACTGAACCCCAGCCCTGCTGACTGGGGCGCCCAAGCCCAGCTGAGCCCAGGGGAGGGCAGAGTCGGGCCCGTCTACAGTTGCATAGTATACATTTCTGATGTCTTGTCGATTGTATCATTCAGAAATGCAATTAAAACCAAATGTCTGAGACCCAAATGAAGTCTAATTGCTATGGATCTGCAATCCCCAGCGGGGCCCTAATTCTTTTTGACTTATTTGTCCCCTTCTCCGATGAGATGGAGCTTAGACACAAAGCCCTCGGTTTAAATTTCAAAAATTAAAATTGACATGCAGCAGCGGCTTTCCCGGGAGGGAGTGGGAGGAATTTCTAAGGAGGTGCCTGCACGCAGCTTCATCCTCTGCATTAAGAAGCAATTTGTACTTCTAACAAAACCCCTACCACTCCCTTTTGGTGGAAGGGCAGTGGGAACGCCTTGCCCGGATCTGGCTGTTCATAAAACTTAGACACATTTAAATCTGAGATTCCTCCATTGGTATTCCCCAGTGCAACCGGGCTCCTTGCAATTCTAATGCCCAGGCTGCCGGGAGGTGCTGTCAGCGGCTAAAAGGAGATAGATTGATGAGGTGGCGGCAGCGGGTAGCAGGGCCAGGTCAGGAGCAGCCTCTTTCTGTCTGCCCTCTCTGCATGGCCCAGGCAGGCCCCTCATGGCTCCGAGGGTCATGCTCCCATGATCTTTCTGGAGGACTCCCTGGGAAGAGACAGGAAGGGTGGGGAGGGCAGGCCTCCCACCCCTGCCACGTTTGCTTGCCATCATCCTTGGAATGCATGTGGAATGCAAGCAACACTTTGCCCAGACATTTGCTGTTTTTGCCTCTAGTTGAGTAAGCAGTTATTGTCAATCCTACTTATACAGGGTTGTTTAAATTTCCTAATTGCTTTCAGGTCCATGTTCTCTGTGTTCTTAGATTGGGATTACTGTGCTGGGATGCTGTGGGAAGTAGCAGAAGTAGCAAAGGTATTTTTCTGGCCCTGGGGGAGGTGGGGAAATCAGGGCTCAGAAAGGTTCAGTTTACAAAGCTTATAAAAGGCTGAGCCTGGACTTGAACTCAGACCTCCAGGCCTGGAGCATGCCTGACTGCACAGATGGGGTACATTCACCTCCCAGAATTCCTGAATCTTTGAGAGGAGAGCAGGCAGGTGGGGCAGACTTCTCGCCTTCCTCTCGGTAGGGGATCTCAGCATGCTCTGCAGGGCCAGAGGACAGGAACCAGCCCTGATCCTTGGCCCAGGACGCTCCCAGAGAGCCCTCACTCCTGAAGCATTCGGCTGAATATCCTGGCCTTGGGCTCAGAGTTGATGACCCAGCAGGACCCTTAGGTCACAAACTGCAAATGAAGCATTTGCACCCATCTGTCTCCACCAGCAACCCCTTTTCCTGAGGCTCACGGACCACCTTCTCCTGTAGCAGCTCTCCCTTCGTCCTCTCGGGATGGGGAGGGGACATCTTGCAGGTGCAGAGGGTTTTGCTGAAGTGAGCATGGCCGCTCCTTGTGGGCAAAGGGCCCTTTCTTCATTTCCGTGGTCTGCATCTATGTGACCACTTGTTTTCAGGACCGCCTGCGTGCACGAGATACACACCTGGCCCAGAGAGTAGGAGAGAAGTTATGCCTCTGCTGCATTTCCCCTTATCTGTGTGAGCAGATGGCTCTGCTGGGCAGCCAGGACAAAGCATCCAGGGCTCCCTCTGCATTAAGCCTGATGACCTCATGGAGGGACCACATTGTGCACTGTGGTGACCAGTTGCTCCGCAGCTCACCAATTCTATTGGACAAACACTTTTCAGCACTCACACCCAGCATGCCTTTGACTGATGAATCATTTATGTAGCCTGTCAATCCATACCTTAAAAAATTCTGTCTTTTTTATATTTATATTCATCAGAGGATCTGCACGTCCGAGTCAATATCTATATTCCAGCTGGCTAACCACATTTGGAGACGGGTGTCCTCTCACGGGAATAAAAAGAAACAAGGGTCCGTTCATGTGTTTCCCTCCGACTTGCCATTTTCCCAGAATCTTAGGCAAGAAATTCTGTTCTTTCATGAGTCACAGCAAGACTGTGCACTTTAACTGTCGGACTGCACAGTTCCAATCCATATTTTAACTATTAGTGATGCTGGGCTTTCTCTCTTTTTTAGATTAAAAATAAATAAAATGAAAGTTTCAGTATTTCCTTCTTATGCCTGATTTTGAGGCTCTGATGTTGGCACTGGCACCTCCTAGAATCAAAATGGATCAGGGTGCAGCACAGGGCCCCTCCGCCTGCTGGGGAGATGGAGCTGGCAGGTGGAAGTAGGGGTTTGGGAGGAATGTTCTGCTCTCTGTTCCTGTTGCACTCTAATGAAGGGCACTGCCCGAAGGAGCGTGCATCATAGCAGCAATTGCGGCAAATTATATGAGCAGAGGTTTTTATAAACACCTTTTATTGTAATAATTTCAAAAATAAATGTAAGATGGTAGTAAGCCCCATGTCTATCACTCGGCATTGACACTGACCCAATCAGGGTCAATCAGACAGAATTACAGCTGTATTGATTAAGACCTTATGATGCACCAGCAATTGGCATGAAGGCACAATTGCATTCTTACAACACCCCCTGAGAAGTAAGTATTGCTATTAATTCCACTTTACAGATGAGGAAACTGAGGCTCAGAGAGGTGAAATGACTTGCTCAAGGTAAGGGCCAAGATCTTTCTGACCCCAGAGCCCCAGCTCCTTTGTGAATATGGCCGGGACAGGGAGGTGAGACCTTGGAGACAGCACAGTAAGGGCTCACTGATAAGGCTAGCCTCCCCGTCAAGCACTCTGAAGGTGAAGCCCTTTCTATAGAGGCCTCCAAAGCATCTGCTCTCTCCTAACACTGTAATCAGGCTCTCTCCTGGACTCCTCACTCTCCCACTTCTTACAGCCCCACACACCCGTCATGCTGGTCCCTCTACTGCAGCGTTTTTCAACTGCTGTTCCGCGGCACACTAGTGTGCCACGAGATGTTGCCTGGTGTGCCGTAGGTGCAGACAAGACAAGAATTTTATAATTTTTCACTATTTTGTTTACTTAATATTTCATAATAAAGTAATTATAAAATACTTTCTTTGTGTTTATTTGATTCCTATTCAAGAGAATTACTTTATATATAGTCAATATAGGCACAGAGTTAAATTTTTTAACATTTTCTAATGGTGGTGTGCCTCGTGATTTTTTTCATGAAACAAGTGTGCCTTTGCTCAAAAAAGGTTGAAAAACACTGCTCTACTGGGATCTTCTCTGGGTGAGCTTCTGTCCTTGCTCTTACTTCAGGGCTCAGCTGGCACATCACTTCCAGCCTTCACCCTGGTGCCCACGGGTTTCCTCTTCCCCTCTTCCCAAAGGCCCATAGAATCCCGATCTTCTAGCCCATGATGCCTGTCTCACTATAATCACACATATAGT